TTCTTATTAGCAGTAAGAGGCCTAACAAGTGTTCTATCAATATCACAAATATCTAGTCAAACCCATCCTCTTGATTCCTGAGATTAAATTTAGTTCTAATGTAGCCCAATATTTTTAATCAAGCCCTTATCTGAATTGCTCTCCTTTCATCTCAGTTTTCATGAATCAAAGCTTGTATGCTGAATACTAGTTCACAGGTCTATGTTTAAGTTAGACAGCAATGTCAATAGTTATTTAACTGTTTCCAGTCCTAACAGAGTGTTTCAAAGTGAGCACAGGCCATGAGAAAATGCCTCCTGATATGAATAAAGTTGTGACATAGGTCCTTGTACTTTACTAAAATGATGAAATTTTTCTAAAGTGAATTTTGAAGGACAGGGAAAGCTTGAGTTATCTAAATCCACTGCTTCTCTAGGCACTGTATCTGTGTAAGTCAAGAATGGGAAGAGGATTTTCAACCAAAACAAGGCAAGAAAATGTTTGTTGCTTTTTAAACAGTCTGACAGTGAGGCAAGCTGGGCAGCCCAGAAGAGACAGATGGAGGTAGCTGGCTTTATTTGGAAGACATCCCCACACTGGCTGCTTCTGGAAATGAAATTCTGCATCTGGAAGAGGGAGGTTTAAGGCAGAACAATAGCAGCGTTTTTTGACCTGTCGTAGTGAGGACTCTCTTGCTGAGAGAGAAGAAAAAAGGCTGTCACCAGTGTTCCTAAATTCCCTCTGATCCTCCCTCTTTGCAGTGAACACACTTAATTTTTATTCTGTGGGCACCCAGCCTCACTTCCAAGCTTTGTACCCAAGCAGGTGCCAGATTACTGCCATTGTGGTATCTGACAGGGAGCACAGTGGGATCAGGCTGATTATAGTCATAGGAATTTGCAAGCCGTTAAAAACGCTGGAGAACATCCCCATCACAGAAAAAAAGACCCGATTGATGCACTTTAATTGCTTCTGTTGTTGGAGTTAGAAAGAACAACAGTAAGCAAACCCTATTATTTGTTACTTTTTAACAGTTCTTTATTTTTTAATCTTACTGTACTCTATTTCCATGCACTAGATGGAGCTGCCCATGTGAGGCATGGGGGTACCTCATCATTTCTTAGGTTTATGAGGTACATATATTATTACTCGTAGTGCAGATTCCTTGAAATTTCATGTTGTCATATCATTCCTGATCATGCTTTTACATTTTCAAAGCTTCAACATATTGGATGTCTGCAAGTGGCAATAAGAAGAGACTGGGTTGTAATACCTGAAAGTCTGAGCTTGATCAATAATAGGATAAAAATGGTTTCAAGGTTGCCTGGTGTTTTCTGTGAAATGAATTGGTTTTTGCCATTTGGCCTCTCAGTAGAGATGTAGCCATATCTGGCAAATTTTCACTGCACTTCACAGCCTGTTAGAATATTTAAAGCACACATGGGCACAAAGACTGAACTGCCCTTTCCCACTGGCAACCCCTTCTCACTGTTCCCTCAATGACTTGCCAACAGCCATCAACCAGATTACATTTTTTACCCCTCTTGCTTTATAAAAGGTGCCACCTACAAACACAGAGATGCTTTGCATGTTTTTGTGGCCAGTGCAGAGTGATAATTCAGAAGTTCATGGAAATATGGACATCCACTTTTTAAATCACTCTTATAACAATTTTAAACCTATACCCTGATTTATGATGGGATCCAGCTTGACTGAAAACCCTACTGATTTATCCACAGAGAGAGCATGTAGGTGAAACTAAAGACAAAATCAGCCTAACACTGTTAAGGACTGTATTTTCCTTCAAAATCTTTAAACATCTGCTTGTAGTTGGTCTGTCTTTAAATGCTGGAACGAGCCCCAGACAGCACAGCCTACAGTGCTGCTGCTGCTAGTCATGCCAGCCTAATGCCAAGAAGAGGAGCCAGAGACCGCAAAGTGGCAACTCGGGACATTGGAAAAGGAAGCAGCACATCTTGATCAGCTCCCGCTCAGCCTCCAGCCAACCATTTATCATCGAGACAGGCTAGTTTTCCACTGTTGCTGGTAAAAGGTGAGGAGAGTTATTTCCTCTGTTGCCTCCTACTGTGTGCAGAGCTATCAAGACCTCATGGTTTGCACAAGGCTTAAAGATATGGCAAGTGGGTTTTCTCTCTGCAAACATGACTTTGGCTGAGTATCAACAATTGTCTGCATACAGAATGGTCCTAGAGCATGATGCATTTTGTTAATGCATTCATTGCTAGTCCCTTCAAGGCAATACTCAACAGTCAGCACCATCCAGCCCTCCTCCAGACACAAGCTACCTGTTAACAGTCTGTTGTTTGGCTGAAAGGCAGCAGTACTCTGCCTTGGGACCTCCAGCACAAGGGACCTCCAGCACAAACTAGTTCCACATCCCTTGCTCCTCTCTCAGTGAACTGCAGTAAGATGAGATTGGATTATAAAGAGGAAAAGGTTCAAAGCCAAGATCACAGATATAGGGCCTGGGGATCCCATGGCATAGGCAGGCAGGATCTCCATCTCTTTCTGCCCTTAGCAGCTGAAAAGCCATCAGGGGAAGGAGATGGGTTGCCTGCATCCTTCTTCATGATCTTACATGGCCTTGTCATTGGGGCTGTGTGGAGGATGCTGCTGCTGCCTGAATCATCTTGAAAGAGTTAGGACTAAAACTCCTGACTACAAGAGAGCAAACTCTGCACAGGTCTGCATGCGCATTGGCATGTGTATGCATTCATGTGTGAGGAGACTTGGGGATAGACCCCAGTCGAATCTTTGCTCCGATTCAGAACAGTTTTTCAACCCAAGTCAGAGTATCAGGACATAAACCAATACATTCCCGTAAGTGTTTTAGCATCACTGAAATTTTATTTATTCAGAACCACTTATCATCTTGAAAGATCACCTCCTTTCCATAGGACAATATGTTACAGCCCATACACTACTTTTGATGGAATCAAATTAGCTGTTGCGAACATGAACTTATATATATATCCCAAACAGAGTGAGACTGAGCACTATTTTTATAAAATGTCTGAAACAGAATTATTAGGGGGTAGGAGAAAAAGTCTGGTCTGCCATGAAAGGCGGCAGCTTTACTTTTAGCTGCAAGCACTGCTGGACCAATTAAAATGATCACAGAGGCTCAGCTCATTCATATATAGGATTTTATTTTTTTTTTCAGAATGTGCTAAGACTTTTGGCATCGCATTTATCCCAAGGGATAAATGCCTGTAAATTAAACATAGAAGAGTTCAGTCTTTAAGATTGGAAGGAAGATTGAAACGGTCTGGGGTGGCCTGTGCTATTATATACCTTTATTAAACTCATAGAAGCCAAAGAGGCATGCCAGCTTTTCAGTGTGCTGGAAGGTTTGCAGGGCTCTTGATGGGCTGCTGCTGCTTTTCTGAGACACTGCAAGATACAGATGGGTCGGACACAGCAATATTTCCATTTACTTTCAGGATATGGAAGTAGCATTTCCCTGTACTCCCTAGGGTTTGCTCTTCTACTAAATGACAGTGCAGAACATGCTATTAGCAGAGATGCCAAAGCCTAGCTAGCATCTGACACCTTAACCTCCCTAAGAATTATATTAAAGTAGTGGAAAGATCTACCACAGTCTCTATTTGAAGAACGGCAGGGACTTCTGCTACAGCAGATGAGTGGGTCAGAAAAGATTGCTATATACAGCAGCTGTCAGATGAAATTGGTTGGCGGCTCAGAAATTTGTTTCTGACTATTTCTCCAAATGCATCTTAAGCTTCGTAACACATGAAGTGGAAAGGTGACTGTGTACATTATGCATTCCAATGACCTGCTTGATTTTAATACACAGCTAACATTTTCTTAGCCCTTTACCTTGCACAGGCACTCTATGTGCTGCTAAATTACAATTAAGGTATTTGAAAGGAGGACAGCAGGGCACATGATGATTTTTACACCAGTAGCACACTGTTGTGTTCTGTCATTTCCAGCAAGGGATGGCTAGTGATGCCTTCTGCTTAGTGCCAGAACACCTCTGCATTTCATCCTTGTATCAACGTAATGGATACAGCTGCTTAGCCTATTTGTACTGCAATTAGCACTGAGCTAGGTGATGTCAGTAGTAACTATCAATGGGGAGCTGCACTGCCCGAGTACAGCAATAAGCCTACTATTTTTGGGGAGAGGGTGTTGAATGCAGACAAGTTTGGTCAATGAAATGGACCTTTACCTGTTCCTGATAACCCCACAAAAACCACTAGTTGGTCAGGGACAAAGAACAAATAACTCTTAATATCTGAGGAAAAATACACGGGAACAAAAGAGTAGCAACACTTGCAGAAAGTCTACTGCAGAATAATGCTCTTTAAAAGAGGGAACAGAATCGTGTGACCTATAAATACATGGACACTGGTTCATGCAGTACAAAAACGCAGGTGCTGCTGAAGGGCAGGGCAGAGCCTTGGCAGGCTACAAGCACACAGCATGTTGGAGAGCCCAGGCGAGGAGATGACACTGTGGTCAGGGCAAAGCTGTCTACTGACAGAAAGTAACATAGGTATTTTAACATCCACGCAGAGCAAAACTGACCCTGAAGACCCAGCTGCAGTGAGACCCATCGAATTAAATCTACCTGCCAAAGCTGAGTCACTCCTGTTGTTTCCAAATGTGCACGGCTCCCTTGAACTCAAGGGCACTCTGTCGTCTGCCTGTGTCAGTGCTGAACAAACCTCTCACTGCCAGCAGCTCTCATTTTCCTGCTGGAAGTCTGGATCCCAGTCTGTCACCTGGGTTCATTTCTCCCTTAGCCCTGCCCTTCCCTGTACTGTAAATCCACAGAATTTCAGTGATTTCTTTCTCTCCCACCTTATAGTGGTTTGCTTGTTGTTGTTTTGTTGTTGTTGTTGTTGTTATGTGTGTTTGTTGTTTTTTGTTGTTGTTGTTTTATTTTTTATTTTATTTTATTTTATTTATTTTATTTTATTTTATTTTATTTTATTTTATTTTATTTTTGGATAGCTTTTGTTTGGGGCAGCTTTTTGGAACACTGAAGGTACAGTTAAAAATAATCTGTAATGAATTACGCATACACATGCACACACAGACAGTAATGAGCCATCAACAAAGTCAGACTCCTCTAAACTAAAGGAATTTTGACCAGCTGGAAAGAGAAGTAGTAAACTTTTATATTTACATTTGTTTGTGCAGATGTCAGGACACTGACTGTGCAATCTGCAGCTGTTGGGTAGACGCAGTACATTACGTGCCACAGCATTATTCCTGTCTTAAAGGTACGTAATGCAGTCAAACCTGGTGTGACCTTCAGGTTGTGCAGCATTCCAGTATAAAGCTGAGAGACAATTGCTTAATTATTTTTGCTGGATTAGTTAAGAAATTATTTAGAGGGCTTAACACAGGAACATTAAGGTCTTCCCAGACCTGTTGTTTAAGACGGCATTTATGTATTATTTCAGTGTTTATGTGACTCCATGCTCCAGCATTCAGGGGCTGAATTTCCTTGAGGATGCAGATGGAGAGAGCAGCGTGCCACCCCCTCCCTGCACGTGTTGGCTTCTGCACGTTTGGGGGTGATGTTTGGTACTCATGACTTTCAACCTGCATTCCCTGTGGCAGCCTACAGCCTCCCAGGGCTCATGCTTTTAATATGAGTTTCAGAGCGGTTTTCTGGTTTTCTCTGAGCAGAAAATGTGCCTGCTCCCTCTTCTAGCAAGGGAGGTGGGAAGCCCTGCTGCGGCCTGGAGCCACTGCACCTCTCTGCAGGCCTGAGCCACCCAGAGCCAGGCCTGCATTTCCAAGCCCTCAGACAAAGTCCCTTGCTCATAGGGTGGGTGGGCAGATTTGGGGGGCAGGCAGCTCTCTTCTTTCATCTCTTTCCAGCTGTTTGAGACTGCATCAACACCTGGCTGACACTGTTCCCCTCTGTGTAGCACCCACACACCTCTCCTTGCTGCAGGCCATACCCGGCCCTGCCTGGCCAGCACTGAGCTGTGCACCCTGTGTCCCCTTAATGTCCTTGTCCCTCTTCCATCCTCTCACGAGCTTTGGCAGAGGTTTTCTGGCTGGAGATGACAAGGAGGAAGGCTCCTTTTTTAGCTGACCAGGACACATAAACCAGTGTCGCCTGGCCGTGCTGCTGGGTTTGCTATTAAGTGGCAGCTGGTCCTGCCTGGTGGCTGGCACCCGCCGGAGCTGCCCTTTGCAGCCCTGGCTCGATTTCAGGTGAGCTGGGTGTACTGGCCAGGCTGGGGCAAGTGGCTCCATGCCACTGCCAGCAGCACCTGGAGCAGCCTCCAACACAGGCTTGGACTTCGGCACGGCTCCTTCGAGCAGCCTTGAGAGGGAGGCAGGGAAGGAGGGAATGAGGTGGCGTGACCGGCCCGGGCGGCCTCTCGCTGACTTGACACAAACATGTTTTCAAGTCCCCGGAGCAGCCAGCAGGGAACATGCTGTCCCTGCCGTTCCGCAGCTTCTCGCTCTGGAGAGTATGAGAGCAATGCCAAGAGAGGCACCACTGCCTCCCACGGCCCCAGTGTTTGTCCTGGAAACCAAAAAAGGGGAGAAAAAAAAAAAAAAAAAGGATGGAGAACTGTAAGCAGAACAAAGGAGCCAGCAGCTGAACAGCAGCCACGCGTTTCCTGAAGGCTATTTTTAAGGTTTATAATCGTTCTCTCCTTATTTACAGTACTGTTCTGTGTCCTTTTATCTAGCACTGGCTGCAGATCTGCCCTCTGCTTAAACCAGCCCATTCACTTGCAAGTGTCTGGGGCTACGCTGCCTATGGGAGGCATGCTTAGCTTTTTTAGGCTCCCAGCCCCAAACAGCTGGAATAATCTTCTAGCCTTATTGAAGCAGGCCCTCACATTGTTCAGGTTTTGGACATTCTTAATCCTTTTTTTTTCTAAAAAAGCCTCAACTGTGTGAAATGAGCACAAGCTGTGGCTGGTCACTGCTGTGTGCTGCCTCCAGGCGCAGGCATGCCCTTTTATCATGGTGGCACAACCACAAGGACAAACTGACTGTTTTTCTGGGCAGGGACACACTAACACCTCAGAGCCAGCAGCACCTCTGCTCTCAAGCTTTCCCAGCACGGACCTGGGCTTTTGATCTCACCTGGCTTGAATAGAGAGGCTCAAGGAGATCAAGGCTTGTTGGTTTACCAGTTGCACCATATTGGATTAGCGGGACAAAGCTGAAACAAGAGATGTCAGCCAGCTCGATCCTTTAAATTGACCATTTGTGCATACATGTTTCTGGCCAATGTATCTTGAATGTCTGAATGTACATCACATTCTCCTCTTCTCCCCCTAGGTGTGTCATTCAGCTGTAAATTCCTCCAGCGTATGCTATCTTGCCGTCCACATGGCAGGTAACACCGTGATCCTCTTCTCTGATCCTACGCTCTGAAGGAGTTAAAAATGAGTATGTTGTTTGTCTTCTAGAGGCCTCCAGGAGTGGATATGTCTCCCTGTTGACCAGCTGCTCAAACCATTTTGGCTCTGTTCACAGTTCACTGGTGTCAACTGGAAGCTTTTCATAGATTTCAGTGGGCGTAGTGTGAGGTCTAAAAATGAATGATTATTGCTCTAATGTTCATAATTTACATTGCTTAGTAAGTTGATCACAATTTATAGTACACTTTGTACTGCCTGACAAAGAAAAGATAAAGGTTTATCATAGGTTAGAAGCATGTTACAGAGAACAGTGTTCACTATGGAAAGTATAGTCACAGCAGCAGAAGTTCTTGGATCTGCTTATAGACACCCTATTGCTATATTAGTTATATTCTATAAAAATGAGAACAATAACTGCTTCTGAAAGCTATTACCTTACAAAAAGACTTTTAAAAGTGAAAACTTAATATATTCTACCCTAATGTACTTTGGTTCTGCTAGAAATATTGGCCTTAAAAAAGAAAACTCAAACTTCCAGCGTTAACGTACATCAAAGAAAAAGTAAAGAAGAGCATATATTTTAGCTTTTCATTGTCAACAGCTTTGCTGAACCTCCTCCCTGTTCTTATGAAATGAAATGACCTCCCTCTGACAGAACATGCTGTTGAGGACAGAACTTCCCCCCAGACTCTCATTTCCTATAGCAGTGGCTGTGTTCATTCCTGGGAGGAAATGGGAGGATCCGTGGTTCTTTGCTGCTCTGTTTGACTGCAGTGGTGTAGATTTAAAGTCAAGGCACATCCTCTCCCTTAGCATCAATACTCTCAGGTGGAGAATATGATTCTGCTGTAGAGCAAAGGAGAAGGCAAGGACAACTCTTTGGAGAAGGATAAAAACATCTCTTTCAGTCACTGCTAAATGCTAATCTCTATAATATAATTTCCAAGGTCTCCCTGCAGCAATTTGTGGTGCTCCAGTGAACAGTTTTGCCATTTCTCCAGCTGTTTTAGCATGGATGTTGTCATTCAAGAGAATATGCAGAAGGTGATAAGATTTTTTTTGCTTAAGTGAACTGATCATCCAGTGGCCTTGAAAAATCATCAAAAGCTTTTGGAAGTGTGACATGCACTGTCCCCATCGTTCTGCCACAAAAGATAAACTCAGAGTGTGCACAGACTGGCACGAGAGCAGGAATGGGAATAGCAGAGGAACAGGAGGGCAAGGCCATAGAGGCAAAGCACATGAAGTTATTTGGACCAGTGGAAATTTTCTGGTCATCTCCACAAATAATACAAATTATGAAAACTTAAGAGTGTCCCTGGTCACATTTTCAAAATGAAGCTTTCTTCATCATGTGTTTATGTAAAACCTGAGGTGAAGTTGATTAGAAACAAGGGAGAGTTAGACAATTTTATATCAGGTCCTAACTCCGCACAAACAAGTTCTTCTGTGTCAACAAACCAAATCTAAGTTTTATGCCTGAGCAAACAGCTTCCTATGGTCTGTGAAGCAATGGCACGTTAATATCCAGATTGGCATAAACCATCCGATCCACCCCAGCACGAAGGTTGAATTCCTCCAATAATACCTCTTGTAAGCAGGGGAGTGGCAGTGTGCCACCAATATCCTTTGCCACGCGTGCTATGGTTTGAGCTGCACGCTACACTGATTGGAGGAAAGGACAAGTATCCCTGCCAGGTATCCCGGACTGTTTACCAGCAAATTTGTTAAAAATCAACCAATAGTGTTGTGGATGGCGGTGCTGCTAGAAAAGAGAAAGCTGCAAGCGCTCAAAAAAGGGCTTTCAATGCAACTGGGTTCTTGATATGCCTAATACTGTTTAATAGTCAGTATCAGATGCAGTTAACTCCTAATTTTCTGTAAGGCTAGCAAGTAATCGGGTGTCCCATGCAGAGTGAGCGTTGCTCCCACAGGCTGTATGAGCTCAGACAGAGCTCTCAGGTGCCTGCATTGCTGCCACGCAGGGTGCGGAGCCCCAGGTGATGAGCCTCGCTGTCTTCTGCTGCTGTGTGGCACCACATCCAGCCCCAAACCCAGACAGACCTGTGATGGGAAATGCAGTGCAGTGGTGATGAGCTGCACAGAGGCATCTCCAGGCTGACACAGCTTGTGCAGGCAGCCTGTGGGGTTCCTCTGCAATGTTCCCACTGGCATAAATATTGCCTGGGATTTTCCATTATCTATCCACTGTGGCCAGCAATGGCAGCGGTGATGTTGTTTTGAACTCGGTGTATCTGCAGCCTCCCACAGCCTCCCAGAATTAGCAAGGGGGCCTGAGTCATCTACCTAAACATACACGTTCACCGACACTTGAGAAAGCCGAGGGCATCCATACAAGGCGTGTGCATGGGCCTGGCGGACGTGACAAAGGACTTGCAGCAGATCTCTCCTCGTAGGGAGGGACAAATGAGAGGCAGGCCTTCTCACATAGCATCGGGTGACTATTTTTAGGCAACTGAATTGGCTGGGAGTCAGCTCACAGCTGAAGCCGTCTAAATGCAGGTGCCTACATGTGCCCCCAGTATCCATGGTCCCACCACAGGCAGTTGAGCTCAGCCGCTGAAGCCAGGAGAGCTATGAGCTGGCTAAATGGAGGTGTCTGCTTTGGGAGGAGCTGAGAGCCTTCAGAGGTCCTCTGGATAGATATCTCTGGTCACTAGAGTGGGAGCTGGACTTTCGCATAGGCACATACACGTAGGCACATACATACTAACATTTATGTGGTATCATGACAAGATGTTATACCTGGTGTGCTGAATCCTAGGTCAACGTTCTCAGTTTCATGCCCAGACAACTAGGATGACACAGCACAGAAAGCCCAATGTGTAAACAAAGATTATTTATTTATTTGTTTATTTTTACTGGCTTGTCTTATTTGAGCCTCCCAGGCAGGGCCTATCTGGATGTATCACATTCACATAACTTAAGGTGTGGCAGCCCAAGCTCTCCCTCAGCTCCATGAGGATGCTCGGCATCCTTTCTCTCTCTCTTTCTTTCTCTTTCTCTCTCTCTCTTCTTTCTCTCTTTCACTCTTTCTCTCTTTCGCTCTTTCTTTCAAGGAATATGTAGGAGAGGTGAAGAGGAGCAGCTAGTGATAACTTATACATATTATTCTACTTTATTTAAAACAAAAATCATTAATAGTCACAAGAACGTTCCAAACCCACAGGACTGCATTCCAGTCTCTTGTTAAGCCATCCAGCATTTGAGAGCAAAGAATTCAGACTCCCTGCAGGGCTTTTCGCCCCTTCCTCCCTCTAAGGTGAGTAGAGAGAAGCGGGGCTGATGCAGACTGCCTGCCGCAGTGCCGGCAGGGTGTCCTGCTCGCTCTCTGTTGACTGAGCGGAGGAGCAGCACCTGGCCAGGTGCTGAGTAAGTCATTCTGTCACGAGCACGCATGCCAGCACAGACACGCAAAGCCACTTTATGTCCCGTAATACTGGACTGGGATATGGGCATTTAAAATTGTGTTGCCAGCTTCTAGGGAATGCAAAATCAAAGATGTTAACAGAAAAGTGCTCCCTTCTCTTTACACCACAGCTCCTTCTCCCACCGCCTTTACCCCTCAGCCCCAAAATCAGATGAGCCAAGAAATGTCAAAAACTGCCAACTTCTACCTTCTGTTTGCCAAAATTACTTTGGGGTTTCGTGGCAGAGCGTTACTGGGGGCTATAACCTGATGACTCAAGCCACCGTCACCCGCTGTAAGGGAAAAAAAAATTGTTTTTCCAGTCTGGTAGTGTTTCTTATCAAAGGTATCAAAGCTTATATTGTAATAACGCTATGGGAAGGACGTTATCGCCCACTAAGGGCAAAGTCTGGTGTATTTGAAAGCTTGGTTAAATGATAGGAAAGAGATGATAACGAACAAGCCCTTATCAGGCGCCGGGGAGATTAATTTGGAGGTGTGCCCAAGGCACTAGTAACAAAATCAGTGTAAGCATTTTAGTTAACGAGCTGGAAGAGAAAACACTGGATGCTTTTGTGTGGTTTCTGTTGACTTCAGGAACCTTTGTAAGGTCCAGATCAGGGGGCAAAGGGGGGAAGTGCAACATCTGCTTATCTTCTGTGAAACCAGAATGTCTTCCAGCCATGGGCAAATTTGCTGATTTCAGTGAACCTCTGACGTACTCAAAGCAAGCCAATTGCTGTACCTCCGGAGCTTTGCTGAATCAGGAGTTGGCCTCTTCCACTCAGTGAGTTTATGCAGAGGAAGAAAAAAAAAACGAAAAACATTACAACTTCTGGAGCCTTCTGGACAGCAGGAGGTTGTCTGGAACTAACAGCCTGCGTGCAGCCTGCCTGGGGGACACCGTGCACTGCCTGCTGGGCCACGTGCTTGTCTGGCTCATGGGGGATCCGGGCTGCACGCTGCAGAAAGGGGCTGCTGCCACATCCACAGCGTGCCTGGCTCATGCCTGCACCGCGTGCATCTCCTGAACCTGCCACTGCTGGTGTACAGAGCAGGCACATGCATTTCTGCTTGGAAAAAAAGGAGGGGAAAGCTGCTAGTCCTGTCTCTAGGGTTAGTAACACGGTAAAGGTGGATGGGGAAAACAGGCCTGTTTTGTTTTCTTTGCTCTTACTAAAGTCCCAGGTGCAATTAAGTTGTGGGTTGTTTCTTCCAACACACCTGTACTGATTGATGTATGTCAGGGTGGTGCTTTTCCGTAATTCCAAAATACTTGAAGTTCACACCATCTGATCTACTTCGCTAGCATTAGGGATGGTGGGATAAAAAAAAATTAAGAAACAGAAACAGCACACAAAGCTGTAAGTCTGTAAGTTGTAGATTTACTGCTAGACACCCAGGGTTTGGATATTTTTCACCTCTTGACTCTCAGGCTAAACACTTGTAGGTACTTTTACAGTTACTCTGTCTTTTAAAAAATCTGGGATGCAGCATATTCCTGGGAAAACACAAACCTCTTAGAGCACCACTTGTACAGGACCTGTTTATTATGGTACAGCCTGTTCTGCCCACTAACCATCGTTGTATTCATCATTGTATTGCAAACTAGCTATTAAAAGCCCGTTGTCCTATTATTCCAGAGCTGAAACAGACTTTTTTTTGTCATCATATGGAAGAAGTTAAGGACTGAATCCCACTGGAAGTCTGGACAGTTAGAACCAGTGCATGCTGTTAAGAGTCTCCCATTGGCAGTCAGTTTGATCCTTTCTACAGTAGCAGCCGTGGGTGATGACAGACAGAAAATCCGCTTACCAACTTGGCCTCCGAAACCACTCATTTTGGGACTACCACTGATTTATGTTAGACAACATGTTTGTTTCTCCTTCAAAACTTCAGGAAGACCTGTCTATCTCTATTCTGCAGCTAGGACTCCGTGGGGGCAGGATGCATTTTTGGAAGCAAAATGTTTGTGGAAGCAATTATTAAATATGTATTCCTGATCACAGCCTTGAGGTTGGGCAAATCAACCATCAGGAGTTAACATCAAACGCTATATGATTAGATATATGATGTTCGCATTAAGAGAATTGCTTAAGCAAGTCACTTAGCAGTGTGTTTGCCCCTCAGCTTTGTGCCAGTGAACCTGAAAGGTTTTTTTGATGACACAATTGAGGTCTAAGCCAGTTTTCTTGGAGGCAGATTTCTTAGCAACCACAAACCACATGACTTGTGCTGTGTCTGATGCCTCTCAAAACTTCTGAGCGTCAAGATCAGATTTTGAGCTGTTACCTAGTAGCTTGGTAAGACAACTACAGCCAAGCACTGCAAGCTTCTTGCATCATAAGCCAGTTAATTTTAGCAAGGTGACTGTGATGTGTCGGCAATCCTCCTGCACCCCACCACCTTTAGGATGTTGGGTGAAAGGCTAGCAAATTGCCTTCACTCATACAAGCTCACTACCGGAAACATAAGGGTCCAAGTAATTTTGTCATTGAAGCTTTTAGAAGAAAGTTGTTCAAAGAAGCCCACTGAAACTCATTGCTCAGATCCTACCTCCCCTTAAATACTTCCTGGAATTAGGAGCAACGCAGGATTCAATCTACTTTTGATGTTTAGGACCCCCTGAAACAAGTGAGCTCCACTAGAAAGATCACCAATATCAGAAGTTACCTACTAGAAGAATTCTCCCCGCAACCAAAGAGGGCCCCCCAAAAAACAAACACACCAAATCCAGACCTCACTCACACTAAAAGCCAGTAACTAAACTTACTGATTAATACTTAAAAGCCCATGCTTGCAGTAGACTTTAAAGAAAAAAGAGAAAGATACTAGACAACCATTAAAAAGATTTTATTATAAAATTATTTAAATATCTACAAACCAGTAAAAGGCTCAAAACTACAAGTCAGGAATAAGAATTCAATAAGTGTTGAAAGACACCATTGTATCTAGGTTGATAGCCCTTAAGTATTTTTTAATACTAAAGAGATTCCACATAGGTTCCTTAAGTACTACACACATCTGTCTGCTTTGTGAATGTGTTCTGCATATACAGATTCAAAATTACACTTATCCAGAAAGCTTCTACTTGTAAGCTCTAATACACATTTGTTTACAACACTCATGTGCTTTGGCTGCTTAAAAATAGTTACAGCTCCAACCTGGGGTAGCTGCAGCTATGGTACATATATACAGTATATCATGAGATCACAACTCACATTCAAGCGTTCCCGGGTGCAGACAGTATTGTTTGTGTTTAACAACAACTACCTAGGCATTTTTTGTGACCTTGTATTCAATACAAAGTCAAAGTATTCAAGTATATTATGGCAGTGAAAGCAGCTTTTTCACACCTGTATCTTCTAAACAAAGATATTTCACTTTTGTTATCCATTTTACTCAGTAAGCTGAACTAAAATATACCTGAATTGGTGACCTTTGGTGATTGCAGCTTATTCACTGGGATAAGAGTGGCCCCAATGCAGTACTTAAGTCATCATGCTCAGTAATTATCATCAACACTTCAAGGTTTAGTTTTTGAAAGAAATACATCATAACAGAATAGTATCTTCCACTGAGAAGTTTACCCCAAGCAAGAACTTTTAGAATAAAGTTAGTTCTTGCTTTCTTATTGCTATTAAAAATTCAAGATTCACAGTATAGTATGGAGTGGGAGTGGCTTTCTGCCCAGTAAATACTAATCTGTCATACAACTGAACAAGATGCTTTAAATACTGTATTTGCAACTTCTTTCCAAGGATTGTATACACTTAAGATAATAATGCTGATCAGTCAACAAAAATTCACATAGTATTACACAGCCCCAATGAACTTTGACTGTACGGCTGGGTAACCTCCATTAGCTTCACTTTATCCTGGCATTCAGCTTACCTTGCTTACAAGGAGGGGAAAAATCCAAAAGATGGGATAGGGAGAAGAGCTTACTAAAAATGGAGTATTTTCTCAACGGCTCTCTCCCACTAGCACTGTTTCTATGGCAATTCCCCATTTTGCTGTTCTCTACAGTTTTCAGTGTTGTTGATATTTTAAATCTTCACTTCACAAGCCCTTTCCATGACATAGAACAGTTCTCAGAACAGCATTCTACTCCACCACCACTGCTCCTAAAAACCTTTCAAACAGACCTTCAGTGCTCCCAGCTCTCAAGGCTGAGAATTCCCCATGTACCACATGATAGTGTGGTACGATATATATTTGGCAGACATGGTAGTAGGCAGATTTTCGTCTCGTGTATCGAGCCCACTAGTCATCTAACATCATGACAAAAGGGAATCACAGGACAACACTTTAAGTATATTGTTCCCCATGCCATGCTTGCATAACACAGACCACCAAAACCTTTCAGTACAACTTGCATGTCTCACTTCAGTTCCCAGAAAATCCTAATCTACTTGGCACTTGTTTTCCAGAGTGCTGAGATATAGGCTAACTTTATGGATGTTACAAATAAGCGGCTTTCCAATTTGTCCCTAAAAAAATCCTGATTTCCTTATGCACAGTAGCCTTGTTTCACTTGCCTTTCCATGAACAGCTTAAAAATATATGCTTTTTAAAAAAATATAACTCTGAGCAAGGCTTCACATAACTATTACTGGAATACAGGATTGCTTCTTTTGTTAGAATGGGACTTCCTTATACATGGAAAACACTCTCTCCCTACCTGGCAAGGGTTCACCCCCTCTTTCCCATTCAGGCTGTATTCAGATACTGTTTATAAAACAGCAGTCTCGTAGGCAAGGTAAGTGGCTATTTTCCAAATGTTATAAATACAGCTATAAAGTACGAGTGCAACTATCTACCTGAGGAGTTCTGTAATAAGATGAACTGCTGATATCTATTCTAGGAGAAAAATATATACCAGCCTAACTGATATTTATCAGTATCCAGAATTCAAGCATTAGACAGGACTCAATTGCACGCTTCTACCACATCAAATGTTTGATCACAAGAATAGCCTGAATTTCCTCTATACACACCTCTTCTTAAAAGACATATGTACTTGAATTTTCTTCAGCCTGAAGTACACAGAAGCATTTCACATTTAATGCATACAGCCTAGGCTATAACATCCTTAGCTTCTTACTCTTTTGCCAGTCCTGAAACTGAAGAATTTGCCTGTTTGAAGGTAGCTAAGTACTTCCAAACACTAGTCCTTGAGAAGCCAGCTTGATCCCGTTGGGTGCCTCAGATACCAACTTCTTCAGAGAGCTGCACTCTGTTTTGGGCCTCTGCTTGGCACACACCAGTCATCTGCCTCTGATGTAGCTTGGTAATGCTTAGAAGCAGACTTGTTGAAGACTGGGAGTTTTTCTACTGATTCTGTTGATAGGGCCTAAAAACAAGAAGAGTTACTCAGTTTTTCCCCTCTCAGTAATACCACTTTACAAAAGTTGACACAGTATGCTTCAACTGCCAAGTCAGTGACAAAGTTGTTTACACAAATGTTTCTGTAATAGATACCGAAGCAAGTTAACTATAGCATCTAAGATTGCAATGAGTACTTCGGCAGGACAAATGTCATGACTTCAAATCACGTTTATGCATTTTTATAGGCCTTAGAAGATATTCTGTAAGCTATTTTCAATATAATGCCGAAAGCAATGTATAAGAACTTTACAGAAGTACAAAGAAGCTTCAAGATGTGATCCCTTCCTACTTCCGTATTCTTCTGCTAAAAGAATAGCTTGTGTTTATTAGGGAGTGATATGTGCCAGACTATGATTCAATATTACTAATAACCAAGTCGCATATATGGGCTATATGGCAGATGCTGAATAGGAAAGTCTGTATGAACTAATACTAAAAATGCCTGGTTGTCAGAGTAAAAAAAAGCACAGTAAAGAAAATGGATCTGTTTCTCACATCTTTCTATTTCTGTTACTTCACTTTTCCCTGGTATTTTATATTCCATGAATCGGTAAATATGAAATCTATCAATACAGGGAACCCCCTGAATTTGATTTAAAGCTCTTAGCAGTATGCATTCAAGTCAACTTGTTATAGCTAGTTTTTTTTGTTTGTTTGTTTTTTGGTTTTTACTTCTAAGGACCAGTTAGAAAGTTTACTGGCATTTCTTAATGAAAATGAAGTCATTTTCTACTTATAAGCAGAGAATTTGTTCACTTCATGATACTGAAGTAGTCACCTCACTGCATTAGTGGAATTTATCAGTATTTATTTTATTTAACCAAATCAAAACACATACCTTCAAGTAGATAATAGCATCTGTTCCATAGCCACATATGGAGTAGAGATTTAGGTCTCCTTGGAAGTATTTAGCATATAGACGGGAGATTGGCAAGCCATACCCAAAGCCAGCCTAAAAAGAAATTAAAACAAAATTATTTACTAGCTCTTAGGACTTAAGATAGCTTGAAAATGTTCAGAGACTTTAGACTGTTAAAGTCTTTTGTAATTCTCTTAAAAGAAAGGAGTTTTCTAATCAGTTTCACATGCAAATTGACTATTTGAAAAGAATCTCTATTGAGGAGGAAAGGTACATATACAGGTGTCACTTTTACACATTAAACTTCTGGATTTCCCTGACTAGTTTTTGCTAGCACATCTTGATTACTGGAAGGTTATTACTAGAGTGTAACTATATTCTATACCTATTCCAGTAGTGCTTGCCTCTGCAAATATAGTGTTTCTTTTAAGTTCAATAACTGAGAGGAAGTGAAGAACAAGTAAATTACTGTAATTGGAGTAGAAGAAATGAGGCTCAGGTAGGACTATGCTTCCATTTATACCTTTAAAAACTCATTTTGTCCATTAAGCAAGAGTTAATGCTAAAGAGATCTAAGATCTATGACACTGGGTCTTAATATACTCCACAAAGCAGTAGGGCAGATATAGGGTTTCAGTATTTGTTATTAACCTATCAATCTGCCCCATATTTATGGTAACCTCATTAGCAACATGAGCATTAAAGTAAACTTACAAGAGGAGTATTTCGGCCATCATCCATCCTTGGCCTTGGTGCTGTGGAATACATGTAGCTGAACAGCTGCTCAATTTTCCTCACTGGAACACCACCGCCTCTGTCAGAGATCTGATTTAAGAGGAAATAAAAATTAACTATGATCACGTACTAAAACTGATATTTAAAGCGTTGGTATTTAAACAAACCCTCCAGCAGTAAGAAGTGCTATTTGTTTCACACCAGATTATTTTCCAGTTAGATAATTGCTCTATATGTAGGCTATCAGCAGAAAGCTTATGCCTTGTATCTTTGATCTGTTGTCACAGAACTTGTAGCAAGTTACTCTAATAAAATTTGCTGTGACATGTGAAACCAAAGATTACATGAAGCCCATATTGTAGCTGGCCAAGATACCTTAATTGCCAAGTCTTCTTGTCCTAGAACGACTGTCACTTCAACTGGAGAGAGGGAAGGACTGTTTTCTTGAAATTCAACTGTTGCCCTCATTGAGTTCTGTGGAAATGAAGGTTACCATCATCAGAAAGCATTCAATCTGTGCACTTAATCACATCACTTTAATACTCCTGTTATTATGCAGAGGCTGAGCATTTACCATCCACTTCTACCACTGCCTAGCTTCAAGAAAAAACGCTTAGCAACTAAGCATAACAAGAACAGAAGTCTCACACTTAAGACTCCTCTCCACTTCAGAGATTACATTGTTTTGATGAACACCAAACTAGGCTAATATCTCTTAAATAAACTAAATCCATGAAGTGTCAGCAGGTCTCTAGAAAAAAAGAGTTGAGCTCAACAGTTGCTAAAGACTGTCAGAACTCCACATCCCTTGTTGGCAGCACATAGTTCAGCCCCATTCAATGCATTTCCTACTCCACAGGAAGGCACTACAGCAAAACTGCTCTATAAGTGTAGTCTAAAAGCAGAAGGCTTTCAGAGTGGTTGTCACAGCCTCATGCCCCACTTTTACTCCTTCTCCCCTTCCCCTTCCCCCAGTTACCACTACATCAAAGTGTCCAAATATCCTCCAACAAACTGCAGTCATTGTTTTCCCAACTGTCAAAGCAATCCCCCCCGCATAAGAGATTTTTCGATATCTGTCCTATGCACAGCTCTATTTCACTCAGGTCTAGCTAGAGGTTTTAAATATTGATGCTCCTGCTCAGAATACTAAAGGAAGAAACAGCATATACTGACATACCTTAAAGAGCTCAAAAAGCATGTGAAAGAGATGAGATGGAACATATACAATGTTAATTGGCTCCCCTGGGAATTTTCCTAGATGAAGAGAAAGAGACAAGCAATACTTAGCAGGGAGATAAAATTTGGATACAATACCAACAATTTTTACAATAAGCAAACAAGAAAAAGTCTTAATTTGGGGGTATATCCCCACCACCACCAAATGAAGGAGTTTGTATACTCATAACAATGCTTAGGTGGTAATCAACACATGCTTAGTAACAGTTTAGTTTCAAGTAAAGTTCAGTTTCATAAGTAAATAGAGATTCAGAAGACTGCCCAAGATCAGATACATGCAGGCAGCTTAGACTAGAACCAAGGTTTCTCAGTAGACTCCCTTTCCCACCTGAGGAGTAGAACTCCTCTCTAGCAACCTATTTTACTGTTACACCCTAGTCTTCCTCATCTCAAATTTGTAAATACCACCTCAGGACATGTAGTGTTAGAGATACAGTGACATCTGAGTTCAAACACAGTAGATTAAATGATGCACTTAGAACAAAGGGAAGAGGAACCACCACATAAGAAGTCAACTGGTATGTACCATCATGGCTATAGAAGTGGGAGCCCTTTGAGTAAACACAGCAATTTGATCACAATAGGAAGAGAGACATAAAAGCCCTCATCTTACCATTCACTTGTTTAAGTTTTAGCTCTGGAGATGTTAAGTAATACTGGTCACATAGCATCTTGGAACTTTCAAAAGCATCTGAAATATTTAAAATAAATGAAGTATTAAATGCTGTAGAACCAATGCATAGCAAAATATAATTTCTAACTGCAATAGCTGCTAACATGACACGGACTAAGCCTGTGTTTCACAGGGGATGATAATATTGCACCTACACCGTATGCACTGGAACTGAGACTAAGTAGGCAATTATAACAGTATGGGGAAGTCTTCAGCACTATTTGGTGATTCTGTAAAACAGATGCATCTAGGGTATGGATTAAGAGTAAGTAATGCTGATTTCAATACCAGAGTTTTAATTCCTTCCTCATCTGTTACTTACTAGGCCTCATTCAGACATTTTTTTACTGCTGCTTTGTATTTTAGATTCTGTCCTACAAAGACTCATGTTTTGATAGACAGCTTTCACCTATTTCAACAAGAAACAGTTGGCATCCTATTACACTTGCTGGTTACCCAGTCTGCTTGCAAGCAGATAAATACTGATCACATAAAAATTACGGCATCAGAACACTTACCATTCACTACTTCAACAACATCACAGCAAGGATCAATACTTCCGATGTGCCTTGGGTGCCCTGAGCTGGATTTATCATCAAAAAGAAGTGCTGTTTTGGATGAAAACAAGTATTGTATTTAATCACAAATACTGTACTATTTGAAAATTATGTTTATATTAAAACAGTGCAATCATATCATGTAGTCACATAAGATGGTTTGCTGGCAGTGGATTGCCTTTTTAATATCTAAAAAGGCATAGATAGCACTACAGTGGTAGTATCTGTGTAGATACAAAGACTTTTCAGATGTAAAGGAGATCCCTGCATTTTCCATAAAACTTATTTTCTAGACTACAGTCTAATTAGAGTAAGTTCTCCCATTACTTTAAGTCATGCACTTTAACTTTTCAGCATCAGTTATCCGATGCAGATCTCCAACAGTTCTAAGAAACATTTGCATTAAAATGTTTTTCACTAAATTGAAGGCAGTGGATTGGAACTAGATGATCTTTAAGGTCCCTTACAACCCAAAGCATTCTATGATTCTATGAAGTGTTTCCTCAGTTAAGAATTTCTACTTACTGTGTTGGTTCATGAGCATCCGGGTGGAAATACGGCTCATATAAAAGCGATCCAAGAAATACTGAATGTTTTGATTGGTGACAGGATCTACTTTAAACATATCTTTGTATTCAATTACTCCTTGTGCCATTGTAGGGACCACATCATGATGTCTGTTTCGGACTCTAATTAGTGTATCTATAAAGCTAAGTAAAAAAAAAAAAATCTCATTAGAACTTTGTTCTAAGACTACATAAAGGCAAGCTGTGTACGAAAGTCCTTATCTAATCCAGCAACACAGATAAGTAAAGTAGCCTTATTGTTCAGAGAATGAAAAATAGACTGTATTTTTAAATTGACCTACATTGACCTACACCAGAAATAGGATATTTTTAATATAAACAGTGTAATCATTACTCATGTCAAATTTATTGCCTGCTTCCTCATGCATAAGAGTTTAAGCAGGAGAATGCAGGGAGTTAAGATGACCCCTAGCTGACAGCTTGGAAAGAAGCAGGGACATGACATCAAGTATATTTTTTGTTGATCTTTGTTAGACAGTTCAGGAGGCACTACACCCTCAGAACCAAGCTGCCAAAGGTCATCTATGTGCAGTATTGCTCAACATATTGTTTGTGAGATGTTCAGCAATTCATGCTAAATTACTAAACTCAGTTCAGGACAGTGATCTTTCTGAAGCGACAATATGAAAAATAGAGCATATGATTAAAAGCTCAATGAAACAAATGGAAAACTTACTCAGATAATACTTTCTGGTCATCTGGGCTTTTTTGATGGAACTCAACCAGCTCCATTAGACTTTGGATGTACCTATTAAAAATCAAATGAATAGGATATTTCATTAGTCTAGGAACAGTAAAGACACTTAGTATTGTCCAAGTTATTACTCTTAACAAGTCAGCTAAGAGTCTGAAATATCTTTGAAGTATCTAAATTCCATCTAAGCATGGAAACAGTCACTTCTGCCCGAACCCTAGAAGTCATGCAAGTTTTCTCATGCCTGCCACCCGGACAAGAATTTAAAACATCACTTTAACATTGGCTCCTCTTACAGTTTTAGAGAAGAGGGGCATTTCAAAAGAAGATCAAAATAATGAATAATAATGGAAGCCACCTGAGCAAAAGTTTTTCCAAGTCTAATCAGCTTTGTCACAAGCTAAGCACTTGAGCCTCTTTGCTGATGTCTGACAGCCTTGACGCATATTGCAAAGGCGCAACTGTAGTTTGCTAGATTAGGAACGTTTCTGGATCTTACTCTAATGCTTTTGCCCTTTGTGTCAGCCTTCTTTGCAAGTGCTGCAGTTGTGCCAGTACAGCAAGGTTAAATCAGATCCAATCACCCTGTCAACCACAAGGTGAATGTTAACTGAATTCTAAGATGAATGGGCCAAGGCGATTTGCTACAGAATGGCTGTTCTGCTACAGTTGCATCAGTGAGAGATCCAAACAAAAATAGAGCCAGCTCTTCCATTTCCATGTAACTCTGAGGGTCTGTGCATGTTATGAGAGAAGAGAGCACTGTCTTCTCACTTCTTAAAAAGCAGACAGAGTTGTGTTCTAACAGTAAATTCTAAACTGTTAAGAGATGTTTTAAAAACAACAACATGACCACATTGCGATTTCAGTTTAATTTTAGCACACCACTCAAGTGTAGAACAGCTTGCACTTAAGCTTTGATGAATGAACTGCATTTCTAGTTTATTTTGTTAGTGTCTTCTGTTATTCAAAAAAAGTCTACAACAACTAAGTTGTTGGAGCTGTGTTATTCTGCAGGCCCAGTTCAAGCAGTTCTTACTTACCAGCTTTTTACTAACTGCACCGATGGTGTGCTTAGCAATCTATCTGGAAGAAGATCGATTTCCCTCAGTATGTTTGCAAACCTCACAGGAAGCTCTTGTCTCAGAAAGGCGAAAGAAGTTCTCTCGCATCCATTCGTTGAGCCTACAAAGCAAATCCAACCAAAGAAAATGTTGTGTGTTGGGGGAAAGAGAGAAATCACAACACAAATTTCTGTCTCTCTGCAGACTTGAGGACTATAATCCTTTGCAATCATCATGGCAATGCTGGCCAGTTCTCCTGCGTGTGGGTTTGCAGGGCAGCAGGACGCTGCCCACCCAAGGGAGGCACGTTTGTAGGTTTCCCATTTTGCCAGGGGGGCTCCGTAATCCTCCAGGAGAGCCTCCGCAGCCCTGTAAACACGGGCTCCTCCAGGCCAGCGCCGCTAAGGGCAGGCTGGGCGGCTGCCAGCAGGGCACCGCAGCCGGGTACAGGCTGTTCTGTGCTCGCTGCTGCCGCCCCCATGCCCCAAACCCCATCAAGGGCCCAGCACAGAGCCCGGCAACCGCTGCGCAGCCCTCAGAGGGCGCCTGAGGAGAGGGGCGGCGGCGCCTCCCCTCACCCAAAATACCCCCCCCGGCCACCCCCCAGCCCCAGGGTGAGCCCGGAGCGGCTCCGTGGCTCTCACCGAAGTCCAGCAGCTGCTTGATAGAGAGCGGCGAGGGGGAGAAGCGGGAGAACTGCTCCACCTCCCGCGGCAGCCGGCTGCTGCTGCTGCTGCCGCCACGGCCGGCGCTGCCGCTGCCAGCCCCCGCCAGGGGAGCCGCGGTGCGCAGGGCGATGCGAGCCGCCTTCATCGCTGCCAAGGGTCGCTGAGGGTCTTGAGGGGTCTCCGAGGATCTTTTGGGATTGGTCGGGCTGTAGCTGCCCTGTGGCGAGCGGCGGCACCAGCCGCCCCTAAGTAGAGCCCGCGGCGGGCGGGGCTCCCTCAGGCCCGGCCCCGCCGCCCATGACGGGGCCTCGCCTCACAGGCGGCTCGTGACGGCCGCTGGCGGGGCGCCCCCGGCCCCGGCCGCTGACCTTGGGTGTTCTCCGGGAGGCCCCCGAGGGGCAGCGAGGGGCTGGTGTCCTGCTGTCGGCCCTGAGGGCACGCTGGTGGAGGGGATATCCAAACGGGGAGCCGCTATGAGGTGTGCAGGCTCCTTCCCTGCGCTAAATGCAGGGGGTACTGCGGTTGTTAAAAGCCCAGGCTTTGTGTGGAGAGTACACTGAAGCACAAAGGGAGCAAAAGTGGATCCTAAGCACACAGTTTGACATGTAGGTCATTGCCATAACCTGGGTTAACAGTGACCAAATACCTCCAGACAGCTGCTTCGGTGACGCACTGGCTGCAAATCGCCAAGTGACCCTTACTTACTCTTTCTGGAGCTGACCTAATAATTGATCGGCTGAACCGCTCTTTCACTATTAGCTTATCTTCCAGGGTCACAGATGTGCTGGGAAAAGTCTCAACAACTTTCCTCTTTAGTGGAGAGAGAACCTGGAAGTCCAGCGTTGCCTGGGATTTTCCCAGGCTGTTGGGTCTACGTCACCAAAGACAGAGTTTGCACAGCGTAACTTCCAGCAGAGGAGTTCCTGACATCCTGAATCTCGGTCATCAACAGCAGGACCATGATAAAACAACAATACAAAATACAAATCCACACTACAAAATAACCTGAGCTTTAATACATACATATAACTTCAGTCCAAATGTAATATATATATGTTTACAGACAGTGCTGTACACGTTTGTATACATATGCACAAATATTTATGCTTTTTCATGGGAAGCAAGATATATTCCTAAAAAGAAATCTACATACTTTGATACTCAGTGGAAAACACTTTAACTTATCATTGGATATGTTTTTGAAGCTTTATCTTGTTTTTGTCTTCCTAGTCATTAATCTATTATCACTGCCTAGTGTTCTACTTCCTAGTACTTGCTGTTTTATTATTTTATTGCTGTGTTATTGTTCCAACAGATAGATCAGGTTTTACCACAGCGGTAGAATATTGGCGTATGAAATGTGAAATAAAGCAAAATGCCTTATGATAGCAAACATAACCTTTCTGATTTTTTCTTGTGTTTTTCTGAAGTTGAAAATCTGGGAACGGATGATGGGGTTTGCTTTTGACTGGTTTAACTTTGCTTACCTGCAAGTTGCAGATGACTCTTGGAAGTGCAAATATCCAACACAGTTGTTTTAATTATGGAGCATGGGTATGACAGCTCTTCTTTTGCTTTAGTTTTTTCCTAAAGCTGCTAACGAAGGCAAAGCAAGAATCTCACAATCAACATTTTGCAATAAAATCTGTGTCAAGAAGTCTTCTACGCTATGCAGTTATTCTAAGTTATAAGGTCACTGTTTCTGTTCCTATTGAGATACTTTATTTTAATTTACTGGCTGGTGACCCTGTTTAGTATAAGTAACTTGTATTACCTTTGTGAGTAGACTTACTACACTCTCTATTCTGAACAGAAGAATGTTTATTAGAAATAATTCCTGTTGTTTGCATTTTTTTTTTAATTACCGGAACTTGTTTTCTCATAGTTTTTCTGGTAGTTAAATGCCATAAGGGATGAACAAAAATCTTGCATGCTCAGTTTAGCTCATAACAAACTGTACAACTGTAGTTGCAGGAAATATAGGAAATGTGTTGCCTTCCTCAATTAGTGAAAGGGCAAGGCTCCAGTAATTCAAAACTTGGAAGCTTTTCAAAACAAAACAAACTTCTACAAGAATGTTATATACCCACAACCGAGCAACTAACAGAGTTTTGTTGCTCTGGAAGAACTGTGTCTCCTTCATAATGCTTCTCAATGTATATGATAAGTAATACCTTGCAGTAGCTTCTGAGCATACTAACTTTTCACTCATGTAAACAGAAACAATACATTTGGGACACAATTGCTTGAGTAATGGCCAAGAAAGATAAGTTTTATGTGTGAAGTTAACACTATATGGGGATTCACTGTCAGGCAAGCTGCATGTCAAGAAGACTAGGCTGTGAAAGTTGAACCAGTTCAGATAACTCTACCATCTGTCCCAGCTAAAGTACTGTTTGTTCCCGCTTTCTTTCCTCTCTAAACCACCATTTCCCTCTCCTCATGAAGCCCCTGTGCACGTGACAGCTGTAAGTGCTGGTGTCAGGGAACAGCATTTTGATAGTGAAGAACAGTGTCAGGTTCCGAACTGCAGCATTCATTGGATATGGTCTAATTTCTGCTATTTCAATATTTTGTTGTCCTGAACTGCCCTGGGGCATGTTTTGAAAGGCAATAATAATGCTCTCCGTCACTCAGTCACAGCCTAGGCAGTGTTGCTGACTGTCCTTAAGGAAATGGAGCTATGTGAGCACTGCTTTTTTAGCACAACAGCGAGGTCCAGACCAGTCAAATGATTGACGCGTGGATTCCTGTCTGTTTTCCCCCTAAATGCCATCCTCTGCACTCAGCTATGTTCCTCCTTGATTTTCCGTATGCCATCCGGGTGCCGGAGACACATCGTGCTGCACTGAGGTCAGAGCAGTGTTCCTGGCAAGCCAGGATACGTGACAAGTGGCTGTGCTGCTGGTGTCTGACAGAAGGTCTCTTGGCTGTTTTTACCATTACCTTTTCCTCTGTGGGGACACAAATTTAAGGCTCTTCTCCCTCACCCAGCTGCCAACGAGTGCTAGAAGCACAACGTGCTGTTCTGGGGTGACACCTCTCCTGACCAGCCAGGATATGTGTGATGACAGCTGGCAGGGTTGCTGCTCTTCAGCGGAATGAGCTTTGGATGAGTTTCTCTTGCCTTTTCCTCAATGTGGACCAAAATATGAATCCCTCCTCCCTAAACCCTCTGCCAGTTTGCACAGTTAGTGGGAAGGCAATTATCCGGTCAGATTTGGCTGTGGTGGGGCAGTGGTTAGCAGGGCTGGTTGGCCAAACAGGTCAACAGGCAGCACTGAAGTTCTTCCCCTCAGGGAACCAGGGGAACCTCCCCACATCTTCTAGGGATGGAGACAGCTTCCAAGTCAGCGTTTTAAAATAGGGGTAAACAGTGACCCAGTGTGAGCGGTATGTCAGGGTGGAAACTAACAGTACCACTGGGAAGTTCTGAATGTAAATGGAAGCAGAGGTCTGGTGACTGAGGGGTGTGAGTTGTACCTCAAAGAAATTTCCAGCAGCACCGCGGGCAAAGGGCTCCCCCCCCTGCACTTACGCGGTGGGATCGATACTTTAATCCGGCAACACGTTTGTGTTCTAAATATTTATGCGTTCCTGCGGGTGGAAAAAAAAGTCAGAAATAGCCCGCAAACAAGGGTCATATCTTCCTGTTCTCGTCTTTCTATCGGCCGCCGGGAGCTGCCCAGGGCTCCCGGCCCGACAGAAATAGCAGAAGTAGGTGAAAGTTTGCGGCGCGGCACACAAACAGGCTGACGGGCCAGGCCCTGCTGCCGAGTTCAGTGAGGGAAAGGTCGTGCTGCTCGGGCGCTTGCGCCGCCTCATATCTCCCAAAAGTCAAGAGTACAGTAGCTGGATCGCTTTCCTGCCGCGGCGCTGGCCGGCAGCCTGCCCGCAGCTGTAAACAGCCTTCAGCACGCCCGTGGCAGCTGGGCGGCCCCAAGTGGGAGACACCCTGACTTCTGGTCGTCGTTCGTGTCTGAAATGTTGTGTTCACCGCTTCAAAAATCAGGGGGAAGGGCAGCGGATTTTCCAAATTAGCATTTGGGAAACGTAGCTAGGGACTCGCATGAGATGAGCCGTCGGTGAGTGTAAGCATAGCAAAAAGAGGGAGAAAACCAATAGGGAGGGTAGCTGTACCTCCAGGAAAAAGTCCAGGACACAAACAGCAATAAAACATGACTCACTCCAAGTATTTATGCTGAAAAGCTTGTCACTAGGGTGCGTTGAATTCAGGAGGCTGCAGACTAGGTGAGAGAATAGCAACCCTCAGCCAAGAACCCACTGCAGAGGGAAGGCAGGTGAATTGTCAGGTGGGCTGGGGATGACCTAAAGTATGTAGTTAGACAAAAAATGCCTTTCTCTAGCCTCAGCTGGCTACCTTAGCAGTTCCTGTGGAAGAACATGTGCCATCCTCTATGATGAAGGAAAAAAGGAGGAAAGGCACCATCAGGACAGCCGCTGGTATGGGATGAGGCTGCCTTTTCTCTGAACAGCCCTGCCCTAAAGAAGAGCTCCTGGGGAAAGGTGGACAGCATGAGCTAAGTCAGAAAATATGAATGATAGCAGGGGAATACAGCTTTTAAGCCCCAAATATGTTTCAGCAGAATTAGAAAACAGATTATTATTTAATAAAACCAAATGGTTTGGTTTAAAAGTTTTGGATTACACATCTTAAGAGCACCACACCGTTAGAGTAAGAAGCTCCACCTTCACCTGTACCCCTTACACTAGTCTTGGGCTTTGTACTGGCACACATTCTGCTTTTCCTTTTCAGCATGAGCCGTTCTGGGTGAAGATGAGATGCTTTTGCTAATTCTTTTGTATCTGCTGCCCTTGATGCTGTTGTCTGAGGCTGCTCTTAGCAAGCATTCTATTTCCACAGTTGTTGCCTCTCCGCATCCCTTTCATCAGATCTGTAAGAATTTATTTTCTTTTAATGTCCAAGTTAGGAACTCAATTGAGAAATGTAGTCCAGGAAGTACTGAGACAAGACGAGAGACATCATCTAGAAGAGGACTTGCTGCGTTGGTCTCTGGCCATCTTTTCCCAAGAGATGCGAGTTCATGTGTATTACTGGAATGCTGCCTGCTCCTCGTGTTTCAGGTTACCCAAAGGAAGTTTGTTTCCTGTTTGCAACATCATGAGTGTTATTACTGAAGTGTGAACTTGCAGATATTCAAAGACTGAATTTCTATAATACACATGACAGAAGGTATCCACACAGTAAGCTAATGAAA